TAGTTTGGAGCAGTCTGCTTAATTATTTTATAAAACGTAATGGTCAAGATAATCATGTTACCACTTGTTTTGATATGGAGTGTTTAAAAAGTATTATCAGATTTGGTTGGCCCATATGATACTCGGCCTCTTTTTTTATATATCAAAGTTTTTTCAGAATACTAAAGTTTCTTAGAGTGTATGTTTTTCTTTTTTCGATGCATTAATTCTAATTATTGCTTTAACAGTGTGGTCGAAAGCGATCAGTATTGAATGAAAGGAGATTAAGTAAAGTCTATAGCACTTTAAGCATTCTATAACTAAGAGACAAACTGTTCACTGAACTCGCACTGGTTGTGCGACTACTCGTATTACTTTTCATATCGAGCGATAGCTATTAAGTGACTACACTGTATAATAATAGGTATTTGTTTGAAGATCGAATTATGAAGCAAGGAACTGGTTTAGATTTAAAACCCAATTATTTAACTATTGCTTGTTTAGAAATGTAAATTTCCACAAGTGCTTTTTTATATCTATTATCTACATTATTATTTGAACTACAGGTTTACCACACTAAGCTACTATATGGCAATATGATTGGATCGATAGGGTTATACGAGCACTTAGACTCCATTCGCAGTTTATCGATGAATTATTGCCGTAGTGTGGGAGGCTTTTCCGATGCTTTGAGCTATATCAGTTTTACATCTTAGTTGAGAATTTAACATAAATCATAATTATTTAACTCGGGAGGATAAATGGTGTTATTTTATATTGTTAATATAAGAAGTTCAGTTCTACTTGAAATATTCATAATCAGGCCTATTCTGAATCGCAAGGGAATGGGAGTTTGTTCCCTGTTCCCAATTCCCCTATTCTGAATAAATTTGGTATATTCCCTGTTCCCAATTCCCCTATTCTGAATCGCATGGGAATGGGAGTTTTTTCCTAATTTTGCACAATTGTTGTTGTTCACGAAACTGCTGTCTCCCTAGCGATTCAGAATAAGGGAGCTGTGTGTTCGGGAACAGCGTGGGAATAGGGAGTTTTTTCGCTGGGAGTATTCAGAATAGGCCTGAATATCTAACCATAATACTCCATTTAGAAAGGAACCGTAGGTAAAAATTCATTTTTTTGTCTATTATGGCATTCAGTTTGCAACGATTCTACAAATTCTCCACAGAAACAGATAGGTGCTTTAAGTTATCACATATCACATATCATATTAATCTAAATACGATTTCTTGTAGCTTATATTGGACTGTCCTTAGAACTTTGGAGAACTCGTACAAGCTTCATGAAATAGAGAAGTTTACTCAAACATTGTCTGATATATAATGTTAAATTAAATGCTTAATTTATATGTACATTATAAATTACAGCAGGAACTTCAGATTTTTTATATATAATTGATGTTAAAAGAATACGTAATCACAGATGAAGAAGATATAGTTCGCGGTCGTAGAAAATGATGTATTTTTTCAATAAGCAATTGCCTAATGAAGTTACTTATTTTTCCTTCTAAGTTGAGGTTGATTGGAAGTTTTAATATTTATTGAAGACCATGTGATAACTCTGTGTGTTGGTTAGCATGTTGTCTCTTTTATCAGCTTATTTTAGGGAGATGTGATATTTCTTCTACACCCTTACATAAGTGGAAATGATATACTTATAGGTTCGAAGATCTTTTGTATAATGAAGAAAGTTTTATTTGATTGATTTGCGGTTAAAATCAATATTCGTATACATCATTATCTTGATACATAGCCAAGTCAAATTTAAATTTTATATATGGTAAAAAAATACGGTAATATTTGGATTACAGCCTATGGAATGTCAATAGATTGAAGAAGATCATAGCATAGCCTATGGTATTAAAAGAAATACTAATGTAAACTGGTATACTATTATTTTTGGTTTCTACAGTAAATATGGAATAAGTAGTCGGTTCGAGTTTCTAGACAAATGAATGTTAAGTTATAGAATCAGAATACATTACCTATTCATTTATATATTAATTTAATAAAAATGAAGAACCATTATATGTTATCCTTGCTAATTTATTTTAGCAAATTTTCGTTCAAAAATTAAAATTTAATTTTTTTTATTTTAAAATGAAAATTTTATGTATTTATAATAAATATTAATAAAATTAAATTTCTTGAAAGGTTTTGTTATGAAGATTCAAATAACTTACACGTGTCCAATTTACTTGATAAAAAGAAAACATAATCGATCAAAGCGATCCTTTAACAATTGTAAAGGTGAAATCGACTGTAAAAGAAGTACTAAACTGCCCAACAATTAAGAATGGTTAAAAGAACAACAGCGGAAGTGGCAAAAAAGATTTAAAGTACTTACATCTACAAAAGATTAGTGAAGTGGACCAAAGTTAAAAAAAGATACAATTAACAATAAAATCGAAAGAAGTAATGCAGCATAAAAAGGCGCACGAGTTGGCCGATCGCCTAAAAGTGCAAAATAGAGAAAGAACATCTGTTAGTTAAAAAAAAAAAATAAATAAAATGCACAATAGTAGAACACGAAACCATGAATGAAAATAATTTGCAAATAATTCCAAAGAAATTTTTTACAAACTGTAACAAAATTAATAATGAAAAATTAGATTACGGCTATTAACCAGAAGCCAAAAACAAGTAGGCGCAAATGTACCAAACGCTGAAGGTATGTAGCATAACGAAAACGTTTGTAAGATCCCACCTCTGCTGAAATTGTACGAATTGTACTATTGACGTCACTTCGACAGTTCCCTCCTCTATCAACTGTAGCCACTCTTTATAGTCACTTAACATGTGATAAAATATTAATAAAATAAAAAAAAAACAGTCTGAAGGCGACCTTAAGCCTAAAAGTCCTTTGTGTACTGGCAAATAGACTCGATCACACTTTGGCATTAAATATCTAACACAAGAACGTGTAAGAAATAAGGACAATTAAAAATCCTTAAATACTATACATTATTTGTATTATAGAAGAGCAAAAAAGTATGAAATTGCCGCCATAATTCCAAAGAAATTGTGCAAGTGATTGTCAACTTCACTGCCAGACAAACCGACGACACAAATTTTCGGTATAATTTACCTTTTATTTTCGAAAGGATCAAGAGTCTAAAGTCAAAGAACAATAGTTGGAAAAATCATTCAATGATCGATACTTAAATACTTGAATGAATGTTTTTTTTTGTTAATTTGTATTATGTTCTTATGAAATGTATGAGTACGAATATAATAGCAATAAAATTTCATATAAATACACAAAAAAACACACACAACACATCAATAAAATTAACTAAAAATAAAAATAAGAAGAAAATAAGAATGAATGAGTAATGCAATAAAATTGTATAATAAATAAAGGACTCTCAATTGCCAAATTCTTCAGAATCTTACAATGGCACAGTTGAAGTAAATTTTAAGACCTGATAATGAACGATTTGGTAATTGAAAAAACTCAAATACTGGATACTTGTTTATATGACGTGAATATACAATACTTGACAAAGTATCCTTTTTTAACTGTTTAGATAGAAAATTGTTAACATTTTTAATTAATTACTATGACTACTTGAAAGTAAAATACTAGTTAAAGTGATCGAGTAAAATAGGTATACAGTCAAGCTTCCATAACTCGAAGTACCATTTTGTTAATGGAGACTTTGTGTTAAAGAAGACTTCGAATTTTTGTAATTGTATGTAAATTGCTCTCTAAGCCCTGTTGCACTCTATTTAGTTCGAGTTATAGAAAATTCGAGTTCTAGAAATTCGAGTTATGAAAGTTTGACTGTATTTGATTGTACTGATATGAGGATATACTATGTGTGATTATAGCTTTGATATTCGTTTTCGAAAATCGACAAATACTAGTTTCGGAAAACCCAATTTATTTAAGTGATAACAAAGATTCAAGTGACTTCTAATTTTCAATTAAGTTAAAGTAGCGCTCTTGCATTTAAAAAGGGCTCTAGAATATTACATCTTCTACAGATCAAAAATGGCCACTAAAACATTATTATATAGTTAAATAGTTATAGTTAAATGGGTTAATCGGCGTTTGACCGACGTCGACATACTTTGACAAGGTATATCTTTAATAATAATAGAAATAAGTATCTCTGATGACTACAGATTTTTTATTTCTTTTTAAAAAATAGATGATAATGTAAATTTATGTAAAATTAATTAAAAGTTTATATATATTATACAATAGGCTTTCTATATTGAATGTTTAATTATCAACTAAAATTTTAATACATTGTAAAATATATTTATAGAAAATTATATGCTGCTCAGCATGTGAAGCAACATTATTAGATATATTTACATATTAATTTATTTTTAATGAAATATTTAATATGAAATATGTTTATTAGAAATAATATATTTCATACTGTAGATATATTTATATATTTTAAATTAAATATTTAATATGATATATATTTATTAAAAATTACATATTTCTTACTATAGTATATATACTGTATGCGACTGTATAGTGATAGTTGAAGTGACATCATCCTTGAGTTTTAAAAATATTATTTTTTTTTTAATTTTTTGTATTTTATAAATAAAACACCTAAAACTCTATAAAAGTCAAGCCATTAAATAATTTTTTTTATTTTTTAACACTTTTATTGGAGACCATTACGCCAATAAAAAAGTAAACCACTTTAACCACAACAAAAATCTGAAACTCAATAAAACCATGATTAATGTTTTCGTCCTTGTGACGATGGTGGTCATGTATTGATTTAATTTTTTTTCTTTCAATTTAACAAAAACAGGGTACAAGTACCTGAATTGACGAAAATAAAATTCGTCCTACGACAACGATAAACTCTGTAATTATTATGAATTGTCCTTTTTTAAGATCAAGAATAGTAAAAAATTTAATGAATGAAAAATCTATTTCTTTATATGTTTTGTAATCCCTAAAAAACTGCTTATCAGTGCACGTGTACTTTTGAAAAAAAATAAGGACATTTTTTTATATGGACGACAGTTATTAGAGGCCTTTTATAAGAAGTTAAAAAATGATCCTCTTTCGTATGCGGCAGTTGTACTTTGATCCACATTTTGATATTAGTAGTTTAAAATTATTTATAAAGAAATATTTAATATGAAATTGTATATATTAGAATTGTAATAATGATATCAATATTAATAATATATAACAATAATAATATATCAAGTATATTGCAAAAATTGATATTAACGTATGTAAGTTGTGTAAGTTGACATATGTTACATTATAAACTAAACAAAATTAAATTATAGAGGTTTTTTCAGCAGTAGTGAATTACGACAACAAAATTTTATTATTTATTAATTAAATGAATTTGTTGATAAAACTTTCACAAAAAATTAATAAAAACTTTAAATTAGAACATATAAAACAAATACAGCTTTAGGTCAGTTGGATAATTAGCACTGACTCTAAGCTGCAAATTTGGCAGGGCATAAGTTTAACCCTTGGTACTTGCAGTTTCAAAAGAATTAATAACAATTAATTAAATAAATGAGTGTTTTCAAGAGAACTATTGATAATGGCAATACTCAAAGCACCTGTCAGTCAAGAGTATGATGGACTCGTCATGAGCAAAATTGTTGTTGTTTTCAATGCAATTTGTAAAATGAAGAGTGGGAGAAACTGCAATATGTCGGTTCAAATTTGGTGACAAGAACCGTAGCTATCT